ATTTCTACAAATTGAAGCCACTTAGAATATATTGTTGTAATATAGAAATCTCTCCCTTCCAGCTTCCTGTCAGTTTCTGTAAGGTTTGTTATATTCATAGACATCCCTACTCTGGTAGGGTTGTAGAATTTGTGTGCCTGTGTGTCTCTGCTTAAAAGAGGAACACCAACTCCAGATTCTGGGTGAAAATAATGTAAAATAGACATAGAAAGACAATCCATAAATGAAAGTAATTCAGTGGAAGCAAAAGCTTGGAGCCAGAGTTGACCCTGAAATTTTGCAGAAATTTTGAGCTCCCAGAGAATTTGCAGAAATTTGGGGAGGAACATTATACGTGATAGGACACAGAATGAGTAAAGTAATTATATTGAGATCTTAAGTGCAAGAAGATCCCAGCAAACAAGTGGCTTCGCATCATAAGTGGATTATGACTAATTAAAAACAATGAAGGTCAGAAAAAAAAATAAGCAAGCAATGGTCACTTAGAGCTCTTATTGGGTTATTAAGAAGTAAGTCATGCCAAACTAATTTCATTTCCTTTATAATGGAGATTACTAGACTGATAAATCCACAATGCCACAAATAATATATCTTGATTTCAAGAAGGTCTTTCAAGAAGTACTTGAGGATGAAATAAAGAAGCATGGTTTATACAGCAGTCCAATGAAGCAAGCTTGAAGCTCATTTCAACAATCTTACTCAAAGGGTGTTCACATTTGATTTGTATTATCTAAAAGTAAGATATAATATTGTTTTCCATGTCATTAAACATTTTTTCATAAATAAATTTGAAAATGATATCAGGTTAGGAAAGGAAGACAAAATCCAGAGTCAAAGGATCTTGATGGACTGTAACAAAAAGCCAGAATTAATAAGATAAAGTTCAGTGAATATAAATGTAACTTCTACCTTTACATATTTAAAAATTAAAAAACTAGTATCAGTGGAGGAAGACCTTGATTAGGAGTAGTTTGAGCTCAGAGACTTGGAGGTTTTAATTGCTTTCAAAATCAATATGAAGCAACAACATGACAAGGCTACTGCGATAGGTAAGATAATGTTAGACATTAAACCAGGGATGTAATTGTCCATTTATATCATGGAATGTTCATATTGGAGAGTTTGTTTTGATTTAAAGATATTGATTTCAACATTTTGTGGAAGTTACCTACAATCTAGAATGCATAAAAAAAGGATTTACAGAGATGATTGGGGGGAACTTCTATTTCTTATAAGGGCAAATTAGAAATTCAGTCTGATCTTCTGCTGAAGGAAACAAATAAGGTTTGATGATAAAACAATTCATCTTAAAAACATCAAAGAGCTAATAAGACAGTGAGAAATTTCCTGAAATGGGTTTCAGAAGAGGCAATGTTCCATATACAATCAAAAATGGCCATTCACATTATAAGACAAGACACCATGAGCAAAAACAGGGAAAATGATAGCAGAAGCAGACATCCAGGGAGTCCAAAAACTGGAGTTTTCAAACCTTGACCATCAGATAAGTCTGCTTACCATATCAAATAGATCAAAATAAAGATTAAAAATTTAAGAAGGAAACTAAAAGTCATACAAAGAAATGTAAGCCAATTTGAAAAATATATAGAAATTCTAGGGTATTTAGCGTGGTCTGAAACTATCATATAAGGAACATCCAAAAGTCAAAAAATGTTTAGCCTAGAAAAGGGGAAACATAGGCAAGTCCTAAAAGTAATCATCAGTTATTTGAAAAGAGCCTTTTCTATTGCCTTGATTCTGTGTTGCTCCAGGAAGCAAAACTAGATGCACTGGCTTGAAATGGCAGGGAGGCAGTTTTAAGCTCAGTTTGAGAAATATGTCTCCAACAATTAGAAATGTCCAAAATCAGCTTCATTGTCTCAGAGAATTGAGATTGTTATCATCGATAGTGATCACCTATTTTTAGGCAGTTGCATACATTCCATATTATCAGAGAGTCTTTCTACTTCAGGTAAAATATTAAACTGTAAGGGCACTGACGTTTCTCCACTATGATTCTTTTGATTCCAAGTAGAAGCTAATATTGGCATAGACGTTACTAGAAAAATTCCAAACTGATATTTCCCAAAGTATGGTTTTAGAAAGTTCCAGGATTAATTTACTATAGAAGAGTTCTGGGGTCAAAAAAGTTTGTGAAATTTTGGGTGAAGCAGAGTTAAACAGGCTTCTCCATGGCAGTATTTCTCAACGACGTTAACGTGCTAATGTGCATCAAAACATTCATGGGAATTTCCATGTGCAGCATTGATCATTTACAAAAACCAACTATTTTCCTGTTTGTTATTTTCAAGACATGTTCTACAGAATACTTTTGGGAAAATGTTGGGCTAAATAATTCTACTCTTGATGATCTCAAAGACAATTTAGTGATTTCCATTCTACATGAAGTCTTGAAAGAATGGAGTTGACAATATGGTTCATATATACACTTTTCGTGAAGATAAAACCATGGAAAAACTATCGTAATTTACCGCAAAAGGGGTTCCCGTCTCTTTGTAAGATATCACTTCCTTTTTCATAACGTATCATTGTTGTACTATACAAACTCCTATGTGACATAATCTAGTTAAAATTCAGGCTCTAAGGAGCAACCAAGTATAGGAGAGGATTGTTGGAATTTTAAAAACCTCCTGGCATATCTAACTTACTTTAACAACTGGTTGTAGATCCATGAATTAGCCTAAACTTGTAAAAGCTGTTTGTTGTTGAAGCTGTTCTAACCATTAGAGTAGTAAGTTCCAAAAGTTTTAATTCTTTTCCGTTGCCTTGAGGATGTTACTTAAATGCAATGTGCCTCAGCTTTCTCGTTTCTTAAACAGAAATCATAATCACAGGGCTGTTGCGAGAATTGAATTAAAGGAGATAATCCAGCACAGTGTTTGGCACATTATAAAAATCCAACAAATATTAACTATAATTTTTATTGCAAGAGGTAGTACTTCGCTTTTGTTTGATCTTCAACACCATCCTGCTTCATTTGCATGATATTATGTATGTGAATTACCTACCTCTGTGACTAACTCCTACTGGACACTCAGTTAAACTGGTAGTGAAGGTGGTTGTGTTCTGTATAAACAGTTACCTCCTAATTGGTTTGAAGCTGGCAGTTTTCACCTTACAAAAGCCCTGCATTCTGCCCTATCTCAACAAATCTAGAGTATAAAACAAAAATTATTGGGTCATTGGAACTAGGTATTACTGTGTTATTGGAACTAGGAATTACTTATCACTTAATCTTTTATACCCATTTCTTGTTTACAGCATTTATTAGTGTCTATAGTCAAATATGAGACCAATGAATCTCAGAAATGTTCAGTAATTAGTTTATGGTTATTAAACAAACCAAGAACCAAGTAACAGAAGCCTCTGTTCAATTATGTCACCTACAAATCCACTAGTAAACAGCTGCTGGTAATGAGAACAATTTCCTTTCCTAAAAAGCTACTTCAACTAAGAAAAAAAATGTATTGAATTGCTCTTTTTACAGTAATAAAACTGTCAGTTCAGTAATTTGTCTATGGTTATTCAACAAACCAAGAACCAAGTAACAGAATCTTTGCTCAATTGTATCATCTACAAATTCACTAGTAAACAGCTGCTGGTGATGAGAACAATTCCCTTTCCTAAAAAGCTACTTAAACTAAAAAAACAAACAAACAAACAAACAAACAAAACAAGGTGTTGAATTGCTCTTTTTGAGTAATAAAACTATCAAAAGAAAAAAAATGGAAGTACAAAGACAGGGTCACTCTAGTGTTAAAATAAGCAATAGTGAATACAAGAAAGATGCGGCCAGGCACAGTGGCTCACACCTGTAATCCCAGCACTTTAGGAGGCCAAGGCAGGCGGATCATGAGGTCAGGAGTTCAAGATTAGCCTGGCCAAATAGTGAAACCCCGTCTCTACTAAAAAAGAAAAATAATTTAAAAATACAAAAAATTAGCCAGCGTGGTGGTATGTGCCTGTAGTCCCAGCTACTTGGGAGGCAGAGGCAGAAGAATCACGTGAACCTGGGAGGCGGAGGTTGCAGTGAGCTGAAATCACACTATTGCACTCCAGCCCAGGCAACAATGTAAGCCTCCATCTCAAAAAAAAAAAAAAAAAGATTGCAAAGAAAGGTTTAGCTTAGCAGCCAGAGAAAATGATTTTGACAAGAAGGTTAATGAAATAAGACCATCGTTTGCTTAATAAAGTAGTGATACTAAAATCACAGACACTGTAGGAAAATGCAGATGTATTTATGGACAGAGTATGAGTCCTATTTCAAGCAGAAAATACAACAGAAATAAAAAGAGTTCTTTGCAACCTTTTCAACTGAACTCTATTAATGATTCAGTCAAACTAAGAAAACAAAAATGCTTTAATAAAATTCTCTTTCTACTAAAAATATGCTAAGTGGGTTTGTCAGACAAAATAAAACATTCAGGACATCTTGCTAACTTTGTATCCTCCTAGTTAATATACATTATTTATTCATATTAAATACATATCTACATTTTCCTAATGGATTACTACAGACATCACAGACTACCTGTAAATACACACTGTTTATCCTGAATCAAGAGGACCTGGCAAAGTAAAATTCATTTACAAACTAGGATAAATAACCAAATGTCTTAAGCTTTAAGGTTTCTATTTCTCAAGTTATTTATACTTACATGTTCATTATATATTATCTATATAATTATGTTATTTATTTATAGAGAGCATAAATGGTCAAAAGTCTAGAACTTTCTCTCCTACTCATTTCCTTATAAGTAACCCATCTTCTGTTCAATTTCCCATTGGCTTTAGAACTCACTCTGGCTTCCTTAGTTTGAGGTATACATTAGTCTTCACAACCCAATCTAGTCTGCTTCTGAAGGGTGCTGTTACAAAATGAGAGTGAAGCCAAGATGCACTAGGATTGACACCAGATTGAGAGAATGAAACTAGAAGTGAAGACAATGCTGAGGTAAACTAGGCCATCTTTTACTTACAGCTGACACGTGCTCCAAGAGGCACATTACATCAATCATGTCTGCAAGAATAAGGAGTCTCGTCACTGCAGCCAGCAAGGCACGGGCAGCTTGAACCACAGCCTCCCTTTTTGGGAGAAAACAGGGGTCATCTGTGAATCTCTCAGCTGATACTTTCAGAGCTTCACCTGAAAAACACAACCCCAAATAAGTTATACTTCAAGTTTCAACTATGCCTATTTCAGAATTTATCAGCCAACCTAATTCCAAGTAAATTCCAAGACCAAGCATAATATAAAAATATTATCAGTTGACACTAGCATATTGTCTCTTAATAAACAATGCAGTTTCAAATTAACATTTGTTTTTGACAAATATTCTGGAATTAAGAAGCACGATAGCATTTTCCTGCAAAAAAAAACTGTGCTTAATTAACTAGGAACATCTAGTAAAATTGCTGTCAACTTCTACATTTGCTGAATCTCATTTCTTGTAAAAGGTTTTATTACTAAAATTTCAATCATAAACAATTCTGCTTATAAAAACAAGGTAAATCTTTACTGAGTTACTTTCCAACTCAATGGATGTTAGAAAAGAGGTAGCCTTTAAGATAACAAGACTGCAGCTCTCTGATAAAAGTTTAACAGGGAAAAATTTATTCTAAATTATCAATATAATGAATAAACTATATCCTAAATTTAGCCACAGAAATAGTACTTCATAGTGCATAACTGTTAGAGAATATTGTGACCACTATTTTTAATGCCTTTTCATTTAAAATATATTTATTATAAAAGAAGTATGCATTCATTCATTCATTGTTTTAAGTTCCTGGTTCAAAAGGATATAAAATGAAAATATTTAATAAAAAGTCTCTCTTTACTCCCATCCAATAACATGATTGATAGAGAGTTACCATATTCACTATTTATTTTTTAAGGTTTTAAGTCTAATCTGTTTTTATTATAAAAGTATTATAATACATGTCCATTACTTTTAAATAATTCACCATACTAAAGAGTATCAAGTATAAAATTTAGAAGTCTCCAAACGAATCTCCCAAAGCACCAACTATTCAGCTCTTGTATATATATCCAGAAAATCTTCCATGAATGTATGATTTATGTGTATATGTATATATAGATACACACATGTTCTATATACATAAATATATATGTATGTTTTATATATGTGTATGTTTTATGAATAGATTTATATACATTCACATATACAAATATATGTCTTATAAAGACAGATTTTATAAGAAAACATAGTTATTTTACAAGTTGTAAGAGGAAAAGATAAAAATATAGAGCCTTTAATAAGTAGTATCATACTAGAGAAATTTTCTGTAATTTTTTATTTTGATTATCAATTTGTTTTCCTTTTATACTTGGAAATAGACAACGAGGAGGCAATATAGCACAGTAATTAACATTGTGGGCTCTGGAGCCAGACTGCTTCAATGTCTCTGTCCTAGTACCTTAATCAAGTCACTTAACCTCATTACTCATTTTCTTCTTTTTTAAATTAATTAATAATAATACCGACTATTTTCTGAGTATTAAATAAGAGCACATAAGTTATATTTCATTGATACATTGTAATTTATTTTACCAGGCCCCTATTTGAACACATAAGTCAATTCCAACTTTTTCCTATTTCATATAATACTGCAGAGAACGCCCAGGACACATATCTTTGCATGCATGAACAAGTTTAGCTGTCAAATAAATTCCTAAAAGAAGAACTGCCGACTCAAGGAGAAAATGAATTTTAAGCTTTGTTATATATTGCCACAAAATTATCCAAAATACAATCATCCCATCAAAAATATACAAAAGGGTCTGTCTTACCGATTTATGGATTATATCCATAAATATTTTAGTTCTAATTGACTCATCAACCTTAGCATAAAGAAAATTTAGTCAGTTATTTTATTAAATAAAATAAATAATACTGTTTCTTATAATAGACAAAATTTGTGAAGAGCTCTGAGACTGTCTTAACATGTTAATATGTCTCATTTAGATCTCTTTAGCAATACCAAGTTAGGAACTAGGACTCTAGATACTTCTGAGATCAAATTCTTACATGCCCCTTTTAGCTCTGGGAACGTGGACACTAAATACCTTCAATGTCCTTATCTACAGGGAAGGGGTAAAAATATGACTTATCTCACAGTGTTTCCTGGATGCTTGGATGAGACAGTTCATATATTTAGCACAGTACTTAAACATGGAAAGTACTCAACAAAGATTAACTGTTTGTTATTTTGGGGAAACTTTGTAATAGAGATAGTAAATTTTTAAGACCTATAAGTGGATTATTTTCATGTGCTTCTCTGCAAGTCAGAATTGCTGCTATGAGACTATAAAAAGTTAAGCTGACCTCCAAAATTTGGAGAGCAGATGAATGCCCACAAAAAAAGATTATTTTTTCTTCTTGTAAGTATGAGTTGGAAGGTTATAATAGCCTTTTTAGAATACTGTCTTTGACTTTACATACTAAAACTAAATATATTATCAAAAATTATGTATTTTTGACTCTAAAAAATGTTGGAATGTTGAACAACTGGCTGAAGAGCCATATTCAGAAAGAATTCATTTAAACAAATATTATATCCTTGTCTTCATTAAAGGGATATGAAGAGGGAGTCAGGTAGGTGTGTTGGGAAGAGAAAAGTCACTCTCAAAATACATTAATAAAGATGCTATAACTTAAATTCTTATTGCTGGACTTGTCCCTAATTTCCCTAGTATTCCTAACCCCTTTCAGCTCGTTTCAGCCCACACTCTGGTCCTAACTTAAACATCACTTCCTATGGGAAGCTTGGACCCCCCACTCCCATTACTAAGATAGGTCTTACAATAATATCCTATGCTTTCTACCATAACTTTCATCATAATTTATTATAACAAATTGTGTCAAAATCTGTCTTTTCTTCTAGGTCATAAACTAGTAAGTGCAAGAGCTGCATTTGTCCTGGTCACCACAGCTTTCTCAGGATCTAAAACAGTGCCTACTCTTGAATATATTCAATACATTGACTATAAATTGCTGAATGAATATGTGCATGAATACTATTCAACTTTTATTTGACAAATATTTGTTGTTCCCTCTATTAAACAGCAGTATCCTAGGTATCCAGGATATAGATATCAGTATGAAACAGTTTTGCAGCCCAAGAAGTTCAGAGTCAAGTGAAAGTCAACAAACACTAATACAATCTAAACAGGTCTCTGGTACAGGCCTGTACAAAGTACTAAGAGACAAAGAGGAGGACCTACCTCTGCCTGAGGTGTCAGAAGAAATACAAAGGAATGTTCTAGGTAAAAGAAACATGTTCCAACTATGATAAGGTATTGATAATGATAATTGGTTTATAGAATGTAGCTAGTTCACTGTCAAATTGATTTCTGACAGCAGAAAATGGTTATTTTCCTAATTAAATAGAAAAGAAACGTACAAGTTTCCTTTCCATCTAGAATATGAGCATCTATTTTTATAAAGTTTCATGTGGAGAGTCTACTCTTTTGAAATATCATTCCCAATCTTGCTTATAATGCTTTTACTTTGAAGTTTACTGAATACAAAATTTCACTTTTAAAATACATACAAATAAAAATAACTACTTTTTTCTTGAAAAAATTCCACTCTACACATAAAAATAATTTACTAAAGGTCTTGAAAATGCCACAAGAACTAGTTTCAGAATACTTCTTTCTACTGAATCCATTTAGTCCTTTTCCTTAAAAATGGGATTTTTTTAATCATTAAAAAAACAGTTATGAAATGCCTGCTAAAATAAGGTACTAAAGTATATAGACCACGAATACCTGTAGAGGTAACTCTTACACACCTATATAAGTTTAAGAGATGAAAATTTCTGAATATACAAATATGTAGAATCTGACATACAAAACTTTTTATATAATCAAATCAATAAACTCCAGAAGTACAAAAAAATTGTTGGCCAATACACATATTACAAAATATTCTTTATTTTATAAAGCTTCCCACATGTTCTTTTACAGGTTCTTTTGCTGCATTTAAAAGTATAATTCTACTTTCTAAAAGTAATTATATTGATTATAAACTTAAAAAGTCAAAGAAAACATGGTATAAGAAAAATATTGATAGGAAAAAGAGAATAACCAAAATGAAAAGGGGCAGGTACTAAAGATAAAAATTTCCCCAACTTTTATTTGACATTATGTTTATTATTCAATTAAGATTCCTAATATATGCATCTGGCCAAGTGATACAAATACATCATGGTAAAAGGTTTGTATCATACATATATAACATGCATTAGTACATATTCATTTATTCGATATATAATAGAGTTCACGACTGAGACTAAACACTCAGGGTTTGTTTTTGTTTTTAACTGGGAAACTGCCATTTCTAATTTGAAAACTCAAAGAGGTAGAAGCTTAAATTTAACTTTTTAGCAGACAATTATTACATTTGGCAGAAAAGAGAGGAGGATGATCCTCAATTCAATCCTAAACTTACACAGCTATTTAAAAAAACAACAACAACAACGGTGAAAAAGACTCTCCTTTAAAATGTTCAAGACAGTTGGACTATAAGGAGCAAACATGTTTTGTATGACAAAAGACAATCTTACCATGGCAGGAGGAAAGGCAGGAAAGCTAGCCACTGCTGTGTGGACCCAGGGTTGGGTGCTACAGCAAGGTTGTAGGCTAGGAATGCAGTTGCATATGATTGCTATTGCAAACTACTGGCCATGTTTTATTTCCATTTTACTATGTTCGAACTCAGTAAAGTCTTATTAAAAGTTATAATTTGCTTCCAGCCAAGGCAGAGTAACAGAGACCAGACATCTACCTTTCCTACCTGAAACCAAAAATCAGACCAAATAAATGCAAAAATGTTTATAAAGCACTGGATGCCAGGCAATGAAAAATAGTAATCCCTGAGAAATGAACAACAACAACAAAAAAGGATGAGTCCTCTGATAGCCCAGCTTACCACCATGAGAGACTTTCCTGGCCACGATATAGGAAGAGGAAACCAAGGCAGAGTCTGACAAACTCTCTGAGCTGAGGAGACAAAGCTGAGAGCCCTGGGAGATCAAGGCAGTAAAAGTACAAAATAGAATAGAATATGATAAAGAGAAGAGATCCACAGAGAAAGAACACAAATAATCTGCACATGC